ATGTATTACGTTACATGACCTTTTCATGTCGAATTTTGACAGAACTCTGTTACAGTGAATATTCCAAGCAAATGATCTCTATGTTAAGGGGAAAGGAGAGGCATACCAGTGAGTAGATTAATGGAGTCAAAGAATCAAAGGCTCAAACACGGTAAAGATATCATATACTTTTAGTGATGAAATAAATAATCAAGAGTGTAACTCCGATGAAGATTTGCACCAGTTGTGCAATGAATGACGCCAGAACTTTCTCTCCCACTCCCAGGTGTTGGTTAAAGTATCACCAAAAAATTTAAAGTAAGTCTTGCTGTGAAGCAAGGGCATGTTAGCCACTCTATACAGTCAAATTGGTCCACAGATTCAGCGCGATTTGCAGATCTATGTCAACCCATCTATCCACCACGTCAAAAGCTCTCTCCATAAATTCACTCAGATTCATTCAGTTGTTCGAATGCAACATAGCCTGAGGCATGAGAAGCACCCAAGGATGACGATGAATGATTCCCGCTGACATGCTTGGGGTTGACAATGTTGTGCTTCCTGAATGTCTAGAAATGGAGCCACTCTGATCGTGAAAATCGACAAAACATTTTGTTTAGGTCTCGGCAGGATTCAGAAGCCGGATGCTTTCATATGGCCAGCAATTTTGCATTCTTCCAAGCTGAGATATGATGACAGTAGGGAGAACATTGGGATCATCCTTAATGCAATTATTGCCTCATGTATGGGTAGTCTTGTATACTTCAGTGACATCTCTCTAAAAAAAACTTTTGGATGTACTATAATTGTAGAAGGCAGGATTGTGAAGTGTGGCATAATAGGCACAACTACCACTAAATAGAGCATAACTACTTGAGTTATAGGAATAATTTACATATGGAAGCTCTGTTGAATGCCTAAGTGCACGTCTTTTGATTCCAGCGCACGTTCACCACTGTGAAATAACAACACTGCTAGCATAAGCCCTTCGTAAATTAATTTATAATCTTTATTAACATCAGAATTTGGCAAAGAAAGCACTCGTGACATGGATCCCCATAGTTTTCACATATCTAAGGAACTGATCGCTTGAAATACCAAACACGAATCCGTTTTCTCGATCGTATCAGATGAGGTAATCCAAGTGAATTCAAGTGAGTGAGGCCCAAGGACACTGAAGACTTCGACCGGCCGCGATGAGGTCCTCGAATGCCAGATCGCTTCCTGGGAATCCTCCGAACGTGAACCTCTGTTAACACAAGAGAGATGTTCAACTAGCAGTAATCATCGATCAGCAGTCGACGAGAATCCCGCGAAGACGGACCTTTTGAGAAGGCTGAAGCGAGACGTGAACGACGAACGGCGAGCCAGGAAGCCACCGCACGGCAGACGCCTTCTCAACCGTCGCGATCCGCTCCAACGGAAGAACGGTGATCTTGGGTGCTCCGAGGGTGAACCTCTGGAAGCAGAGGTACCGAGGCGTGAGGTATGCCTTTCCGCTTTTCACGCTCAGGGACGGTGCACATGGCACCGCGGGGTCTCGCTGCAGCATGATGCATCGCTTCCCTTGCTCCCAACCTGAACATTACGGGAAGGTAACGAAAACAAACGGGTGGAATGCGAGAGCGGAATGTGAATGTTTCCAATAAATGAATTCGTGCTCTACCGTGTAACGGACTTTCTGTGGCGGGGAGGCTGAAGAGGTCACAGAAGGTCACATCCGAGCTTGTCTTACCCTTCATTTAAATGGGGAATAGAATGATTCATTCACTACACCCTGCATACGCACAGCACGCAAACAGCAAGTTCCTACCTTGAAGGACTGAGTCTCGTCGGAGCCCTGATCCAGAGTGGCATCGGTGGGAAGACTCTGCCACAGCCGATGTGTGGAATCGTACTTGAGCCTCAGCCTCGGATAGGATTGGAAGAGGGGTCCGACGAGGAAGACCTTGACGCCCAGCCAGAGCAGGGCCCCTCGGACCATCGCGTCGAACGTCACCACCAACGACAGCGCCAACCCGCACCACAGGAACAGGTACAGACTCCGCGTCGCCTCGTGATTCCAGCTCAACAGACTGCAGAGAGAAGGACCCCTCTGAGACCTCGACTCGACCCCCGACCTCGCGAGACGCGGATCACCCACTTCTTGAACTTCTCCGCCGCATCAGAGACGTCCCCCAGCACGTTCTGCACCTTCCTCGCCACCTGTAGCACCAGCGAGAACTTGTCCCCGAACACCTTCACCGGCATGTCCTCCTGCTGCCCGTTCCCCGCGTCCCCCGTCGCATGCCCCCAAGGCGACAGCCACGACACCCACGGCAACATCATCATCACCTCCTCCCTTCGATCCGGACACGAAGGCAAAGTGAATGCCAATACGAAATGGACCGGTGGAATTCCATTTGAGACGAACTCCGATCGCCACTCAGAGATAACGCGGATCGACGGCCTCCACCGAACTGCACCGGGCTCGAGGGACCGGAGACGAAAATGATATATTGTGTCGTATCTTGGCGCAGCCATCAATCTGCCAGTGCATCCTCCGCAGAAATGAGCAGGATCTTAAGGCGATTAATTCCGTTCCAAGACGATCGGGAGGAGATAAAAAAGATAAACCGTCCCGACGAGAAGATTCGGCAATTACGAGGGAGAAAATCTCATCGCCTTCACGCCTTCATCAAGACCTCTCCCTAAGTCTCACCTTTTCCGAAGGTAGTTGAGGCTGAGGTAGGCGATGGCGAGGGAGAAAAGCAGGGAGAGGAACCAACCGTAGATCACGCTGTGCGTCCACACCTGCAAAACGAGTTCAATCCACCGTATAAGACAATCCGCATCTGAAGTTCAATCTAAAGTGAATCCGCGCCGTGAAGTCGCTCACGGTGAAAGCGAGGAAGGAGCAGGCGGGGGATTTCCAGGACACGAGGCGATCCCAGGACTCCAGGAAACTCTGGATCGGTCTGGTCGCCCCGCTGAAGCGCAGCACGTTCTCCTTCAACCTGAGGGATTAAAACGTCTTCATCGATCGGCTCGGAGAATTTTCATCGAATTTTCATGTACTTGCTTTCCCCTCGCGCGTGCATGGAAACGGAAACCCGCAATTCCGACTGGAAGGAGCCGAATGGAATTATATCACGCGAACCCGTCCGATCGATGCTCGACGCATCGTGACAAAGGGAAAAGACACCACGAAAGGGATTGACTTCCTACCTGATAACGTAAACACTTTTCTCCATTCTACTTGCATCACTTTAAAGAAAAATTTTAACAATAAAAAAAACCACGAATAGCATCTCTCTGCATGTTATCTCCAATCTCCTCCCGAGGATCCTCACTGAGGATATGCGGAGGGTCCATGTCGAATCGTTTCGTTACAGGCAGCCTCGAGGGTAAAGGGGGAGATAAAGCACGATGCATGGGATGTGGAAGACTCTCCCTTGTGTCAGCTGTCTCTCTCAGCTTTCCTTCTTTCGTCTCGAGGATTCACCCTTTTCTCTTGCCTGCCGATCCATGGAGGAAAACTTGGCAAGCCAACCGAACAAGACCTCAGCCTGCATCTTCCTGCGATTCCGCACGCTGCATGCCTTTCGGATTCCATAGGAAACCCGACAGTGAGGACTCTTCCCTCCTTCCTCACTGATCAAAAACAGACGACCGTGATGACGTCATGAATTTCAACCGCACCTCCATTTCTGGAGAAGTTACTGTACGTCTGTCGCACCCACAGGAACGGGACCCACCCCATCGCGAAGCGCGCAATACGAATGGAGCCGTCGTGGCGAAAGGCCCTCGGTTCCCGTGTTCGGTTCAGAGATTGTGCGTCATTAGAATCAGTCCCTAGTTGCTTTTCTTACACGTGGCAACGAAAGCTGTCCGACTTGAAGAATAACATGATATAGTTCGTGCAGTCCCAGAAGGGACCGCTCCTTAATCCACAAAGCGCAGCAGAAGTCTCATTTGTCATACTTATTTCCTCTTCTCTCCGCTTCACAAAATACGAGTTGAGACGAAAGCGAGGTCGGGCTTCAACAGACTGGCAGATTATTTTTAAAAATTTCACCCCATTAAGGGTTCGTGCGGTCCGGTCCCAGAAAGGACCGGACATCGGAATCTTTAACCAAGGACAGTTATTCTCTCTCGTTCAGCGCCTTAACTAAATTTTCGTTAAAGGGGGGCTAGAATTCCCCTAACTTCCCCTGGGGAGAGGGGGGGGGGGATGGAGGCAGAACCAAACCTCCCCCCCCCTCTCTCTCTCGCTCTGCCACTGTCCATCAAATCAATTTGTGATTTTCGTTTACCTTGTGGTTATGTTGTCCCGATCGGTTAACCCCCATGACAGCGGTTTGAACCCCCCATCGCCTCCCTTCTTCCCTGGATACCACGCTCTGGCTCCGCACCTGAAGCGCATGCAATATCAGAGAAATCCGTGAAGAAATGAGACTGGGGAATATATATGAAACTCCTCTCCAACTTCGGCGAGATCGGCGCCTGTCAGGTAGTTAAAACGAATTTCCCCCCCTTTTGAGTCTGTCGTCGAGGATCGATCCGGATAGGAACTCGACTTGGGTCAATATCAATTTGTGAAAAAGGGAAAAGGTCGAGCAGATTCAGATCCCAAGCTTTGGTCTGGACACGAATGTCTCCCGAGAGACGTACTGCATCGCGAATGTTTTTCAGGAAAGGGGAAAATACAGGCTGAGCCAAAACTACCTAAGAAATTCTGTGATGTAAGTATTTATTTGGACTTTTACGTAATCATCTCTTCAAATAAATACATACTTTCTTGAAAGAATGAACTTGAACCAATTTTAATGATACGGATATTAATTTCAAGTGCTTACTTCGAAAAATTCCAAATAAATACGTACCTCACAGAATTTACTCCCTAATTTTGGCTCACCCTGTACCCAATGTAAAGAGAAAAATGACCCGGTTTCCGCGCTGACATTCACTCCAAATTTTTTGCGTCGCTCGAAATCGCAGGCCAAAACTCGTATACCCGTCACTCATCGCCTGCTATCTCGACTCGCGGTTCCATGACAGATCCAGGATATTTAGGCCATGGCATTTGGGCCAGGCCATTTATTGGGTCTGCGTGTCTGCGAGCATTCCCGATGAGGAATCGTATCGATTGACCATGATATTCGCTGACGTGATCAGCTCCGTCGCCCCCTCCCAACAAGAACAAAAAACGATTTTCCCCCTCATCAATTTTTCTGCCTTCCCTGGCGAGAGGGAACGCCTCGGGGACGCGAACTTCTGCACTTTTTCCTCGAAACACCAATGAGACCTCGCTCCACCTTTCTCGGGTCGGGTTCCATATTTTTTTTTTCTTCACCTCTCGCGGATACACATCGAAAATGAATTCATCAAACAGATGGGATCCATTACATAATAGACCTGAGTACTTGAAACTTTAATCGACCAATTGCGATTAATATTTGAGTCGACTCATCATTCATCGATTAATGTTGCATGGATTAATACATTGGTTGATACATTGATTTATCATCATCCGTCTAATCTCTCGGAATTGGTAATTCCTTCCTGAGACATTGTAGGAAAAGAGGGCGGAAACCTCTTGACGGTGAGGGGCTGATCCTCAGCGGGTGAAAAGGAGTCTGGGCCGGGTGGGGAGGTGGCGTCTCCCGCGGGGTCGAAGGTCACGTCTTCCACGAGTTCAAAGGCGAAGCGGTACACGCTGCCCAGGATCCCCTCCAGCCAGCCTGTCTTCGTTCTCGTCCTGTCGCCTCTGTCGTCTTCGACTGGAGTGCTTGTTAGGATGCGATCCACTGGAGAGAAAATATTTGTTGCACTAGAATGGGTGGAGGAATCGATGTCATCTGGAGGCATGAATACGTCTGGGGGCTCGAGTGTTCCCCATCTGCCCTTTCTGTAATCGCATTAGGCATTCATCATGTAGTACCTCCCGCTCCCCCATATCCCGATATCCTCGGTTTTCCTTCTTTCCTCCCTGACATAGTTGCATACAATAAGAGGCCGCCTCAAGCTCCTCAGATTGTCAGTCTGCATACTAACGTCGAGCGAAATGCTTATGCACCCGATGGAAATGACGCATTTCTCCCTTTGTCAAACCAAAAGAACACACAGCTAAAAGAACATGATGTATGGAATATGAAAACTTTTTAAGGCGACGGCTGACGACTATGTACGTTCGATGGAGATGAATTCCCCCGTTGGGAAAGGAGCACATCCGGCGGAATGAAGCAGATTGGGGCTACTCCGCGGAGGAAATGTAAACACGGCGGCTGAATCTAGAGAGATTTGATGAGGGAAAGACACACCGCTTGCAGTATGAGGGATGGAAGCCTTGTTGTCCCTCTGACTCCTCGGGTTCGGCGTGGAGGAACGAAATCTGAGTCGGATCCTCGAAGTCGAAGATGCCCTTCCGCTTCCGCTTCCCGTCGCCTCCGAGTCAGAGCCGCACGTGGATTCCGGCTCGCTTTGATCCAGGCTTTTGCTCTTCTCGATCCGAGCTTTCCTCTCTCCTCTCAAGAATCTGCTCCTCCTAAGCAGTCATGTGAAACTTCACTGCTATTTCCTCTGTAAGCTAGTGAATGTTGGATAAAGAAGAAAGCTTGTTCCTTCACTTCATCCGCATTCCATTAGAAATCAAATCAAAATAAAATTCATCTTTTTTTTATTTCCCACATTCCCTTTCAGATTTTTTCAAAGACAATGACATGAGCAATTTTCTCCAACGGTGTTCAACACTTTTCCATCCAAGTCCGGCGTGATTTCAAGTTTGCTTGCAAGCGAATGGAAGCAGATGGTAATCAAGAAAAAAAATCAGGCAGCCTAGGGGCGTCGTTGAGATAATGAATTAAGTGGAGATCATGCCAAACTCAATTATTAGTGAACATGATTACTCTTGCCATGATGGTAGTTCATCTATAAGGGTTCGGGCCTGGAGGAGGGAGTTAATTGGTCGACACTATCACAACAAATTTAAGCTCACAAGGTCTCAGGAGTACTAGTTGGAGAGTTAGTCGGGGTGCTACCAGAGGCAAAGTGGAAATTGGACTGGCTGATGCTCCTTTGACCCATGGCCTCCTCCACGATCTTCCGGACTCCGTCTCCTGGGCTGTGAAAGTTTGCATCTCGTAACGTTGTATTGTTTGTTTGTTTTTTTTTTGCTGTCGTGCAGTACGGAGAAATACAATTACTGGGTGGGCAAAAAAAAAAACTTCGTTTATCTTTATCACTCCACAGCAGTGGTCCCCAAGAGTTTGCTAAAATTGCACCTTCGTATAGAACATTCATAAAGCTTTCCAATGATGTCAGCAGAATAAATATTCGAGCATAACTTCCATGCGGTTAGATAAAGAATATAAGAGATGGCACTGGAAATGTGAACAATGCCTTGGCAAGATTGCGAATGTGTCAGCGAAGGAATGGACGTCACCTGGTGCACATCTTTCAGGTTACTGGTAAGTGCACTTTTTCAAGCACTACCTCTAGTTCTCTGTGCATCGGAATGACGGAATGGATCTTAAATCTTTTGACAGCAGTGAAGAGCGAGATAAATTTTCTATATAGAGATGCTCTTGCAATATTTTCAAGCTCTCGAGAAACTACGTAGTGAAGCGTTAAAGATAACCGAATATTTTTTTTCCTCACCCTGTATAAAATATTTAGTTAAAACGGTTTTCAGCGTGTGGAAGATTTTCTTGTGATAGACTTAAAATAAAGCCAAAAAATCTCTTAAATTTATTTTATATGTATTCATGCCATTTGGAAATGGTTTTCCACAGTGTACCTTCTACGGGATACTATCGTTGAAACTAACATCAGCATTTTCAGAAGTCGTGGTAAAGGTTAGCCTATTGAGCTATGAGAAAATCCTACACCCGCCGGTAACTGTTTTCATGGAGTGTTTTCATATTACTCAGGGGTATCTCTAGACGTAATCACACCGGGGTGTTGCGAGAAAATCTTTTCAGGGGGAACTAATGAGAAAATCTGATGACCTTTTCCATTCCTTTTGGAGTCTAATGTTACTCGTGATATCCGATATCCTTTTCTTCTATTCTGGCAGGGTATGAGGGTTTTCCTCTTACATTTGTGGTTCGCTTTCGACTTTTTACCTTCGTTCTACGCGATTTCACCCTTTCTTTCGGTACTTCACCGTACTGCATAAAGTCTGATGTGTCAATCCTCACTCGGCAGACGAAGAGGAATCCCGGGAAATGGACAGAAAAGGCTGGCTGATGCTTTTCTGCACGGCGAACACTCCTCGCTTCAGTCTCGCCGACAAGCTAAAGGTTAGTGAGCAGCGACACGGGTCAGTTCTAGGTTGAGAAAACACACAAGGACGGGCGAAGGAAAGGAGGTCGACTAATAAGGACGGAGCGGGTTGGAAAAAAAAAAAAAGAGGGTAACCTGGGTGATGAGGGAGGATTGGATGGAGGCAAGATGTCGTCTCTGTCCGGGGAGTCCCAGGCTTCCTTCTTCTTCATCCAAGGCTTCCCGACTCCTCCTCCTTCCCCTCCTATCCCTGTCAATTACGGCAATAGATGACGGGGGAAAAGAAGGTCCAGCTAATTGGGCCGCATTGAAAACCTCTATCTTCTCCCCCCTCTTTGTCGGTCTGATCCCATTAGTGATTCGCTCTTCAGCGATCCGAGCAATTCAGCAATTACGTATATCAAGCAAATCTCGACCAATCTTTTTTCTTGCGGCTTGGAACTACCTTGAACCTACGGTTACTAACTTTTCCTTCCGACTTCTGGGACCCGCATCTGATTTATAGATGAAAAAAAAATTATGCAACCACAGGGAAGGAATCCTTGACATAAAAAATACAGAGGATTACGAGCATGAGAGCCCTAGAGGGCAACGAAGTTGCCATCTAAGCACGAAAGCGACGTGTAGAGCTGAACTGGAGCCAAGCCAGGGAAAAACGTGCAAGTCACGGACCATTTCGTGCCATCCCTCATCCAGACATCGTCAAAGTCATCTCTTCACAGTGGATCTCCAAGAGGAAAGTACCTTTTTCCCCTTTTAACGGCAAAAAAAAACCGACGAGACACTCCAACTCGGATTGCAATATGGAGTGCTCAATTCCTTTGGTAGATGAGTTTAACCTGTTAATCCTAGTCAACTCTTGCTTATCAAAACGGCAGTACTTGGCAGTACCAATTATTTCTAAGTCCCGGCTGAAATCTCATAAAATCGAAATTCTCCGAACTTCATTTTCTCATAGATCCCTTTCGTCCCCTGAGTCATTTTCCCCGCCAATCCGGACTTGCTGGCAGAAGAGATAAGTGGGAAAAAAATTGAGTTTCCCATCCCTTTCCCGCATCATGGAATTAGCGTCGAGTAAAAAAAAAAAAAAGCTTTATCTCTGATCCCTTTCTCGGAATCGGGTAATTGAGATTCTTCTCGTCATTGAAGTCTTTCACTCTCGGCAGTGATCTGCCTTTCACCCAGCCTCATCCTTGTCAAAAAGCCTCCACAAAAAAGCTATCATTTTCCCTCATATGTTCTCGGCTCGGGTATTTCGCTCCGATGACTGGTTGAATGAATTGGGTCAGCGATTCCCATGAACATGAGGGGGAAATGCAATAAATGATGATATCCTGCCGTGCACTGGGAATGCAATTTTCCTCGTCGGAAAAACAGAAAAATTAGCGTTCTTTGGGTAAAAGAAGTCGTTAACCCGACAAATCGCCGATCCCCTCATGTCTGGATTAACGAGAGTTGAATGTGTCTAATTTTTCTACCTGATGAAAAAAGGCAACATTCTCCAACCAGTTTCCGTCAAGAAATCCATTTTGTGGCTATTCAATGAAGCATGTTTGAAACGGATTCAAGGTCTCCTATGCTCACGTTCCAGTTGGTGCAGCGACCGTGCGGGAACATAAATATGCCAGACACTGCCAGCGTTAGGGAATATGCATTCCATCGATGCAAATAATGCAGATGCATGCGTCATGCGAGATACGAATTAGATCAGATCAGCGGCGTAGCATTCGGAGGGGGGGAGAAGATAGAGGTTTTCAATGCGGCCCAATTAGCTGGACCTTCTTTTCCCCCGTCATCTATTGCCGTAATTGAAGGAGAATTGGGGGGGGGGGGGGGGGCACGTGCCCTCTTTGCCCTCTCCCCCCCCCCCTCCCCCCCACCCCACAAAAAATAATAATAATAATAATAATAAATAAAACAAATATTTAAAAATTCAATCTACGCCTACGCTTATGGGTGAGACGATTGATTCGCCAAACACAGACCATTTCTTCCACAGACATTTGGCTGAGAAGCTTACAGAATAACGAAAGAAAAACTTCAACTCATACGGCACAAGGGCAATCTGTACATCTTTCCTAAGACTAGTCGATAGTTTAGTTCAACGAATGGCTGTGGGAAAAAAGTCTTCCTCCGTCAATCTGCGTTATCTGCATAAATAAGGACTAGAACGATCTGCCTTTCCTAAAAGGAGCAGATAAGTCTGAGAAATATCAATTACCCGTTATTCTTCGGACTCGCATACATTAATGTCACAAAGCAACTCACCAAAGTGAGATGACCAAAAGATGGGACCAAATAGCAGAGCAGCATGAGCTGTACAGTAAAGACTATTGACTATCCTACTTTATGTGCTGCAACACTGCTCTGATCACTCATCAGTGCCCCATATCTTCTGCCAGTGGAAAGGGAGAACCTGGGCACCTCCAACATAAACTTTTCCGTATTTTACCTACATCTCATTAGGATATACGGGGTTAGTCTGGCTGACGTCAGCAACAGGGTGAAGAGATCGTAAAATCAATTATTTTTTAGTCCTCGTCGCAGCTTCATTCTTTCCGGGATTTAATTTGCTACGCCCCGCCAATTGCGAAAAAAAAGACTTAAGGCAGAGGAAGAGGATCAGATCCCCGTCCCCCATTCAATCTTTCGTTAGCGGACAAACAAACGTGGCTGGAATCTCGATTTTCGCACGAGAGACACCTAGCGGCGCCCCAGTGAAGGCTCGAATGTAGGAGAATCCAATCGCAAACGATCCCTTTCCCTTGCAGTTTTTAGGTCGGGAAAGTCCCTTCCTCAGTCAGTCCAGCTGAGATCGCTTTTGCTTCTTCACGGTTCAAGGAAACACAGAAACGGATCCAGGAAACCTACGGTTGCATTGGGATTCAATGAAGGCGGAGATCCTATCGTGAAAGGTCACCGAGTCCGTCGACGACACCGCAGACATCCTAGCGACCCCCTTCACGCCTGACACCAATCTGCAAACTGTTAGGGCAGAGAGTCAGACCCGAACAGGAAAAGCACAGCGCGAGAGTGGAAGGGAGGGAGGACTCGGTGAGGGAGGACGAGGGAGGACTTCCCTGCCTCCCCTCCACTCGGGCCGGTATTCCGCGCATGGCGTTCTTCGCTGCAAACGCTCGTCCTGTTTTGCCAAAGCAGTGACACATTTATTTTCTTACGAAAAAATTGTATTTACTTCCCAGTCGGGAATAGAGCATTAATGCTTCAAACGCCTCTTCACCGAGTCCATAAACTCCGTGATGACTGCAAGACCATAAATAAAGACGAGGTGAATCAACACTTAGTCGGGGAGACAGCCATCTCAGCACTCGCGTCCAAATCCACCGAATCCAAATGGGAAAATCATGGTGTTACATCCTGCGCCCATGTGCTACGTACGAGGGAGGAGAACCGTAGATGCGACGACATCGAACGACTAAAAATAGTCGGATCTCGGGGCCAAAATCCAGAGAACCCCCCCCCCATGTGTGTCCCTCGTTCACGTACATCAAGACTCGACATCATTAACTCTTTTTTTTGCGTCTCAGCGGATCGACTTGAAGTCTGTCGAGACCCCTTGGTCGGGACAGGTCTCGAATTTCCGTCCTTGTGCCAATGACCTCACATGCGGGAACAGCTGAGGAACATTTTGGCACGTTTCCTCCATCAGATGTTATGAATATAAAAATAAAGAGGCATACGGGCCTTGCCTGGCTTTTACGACGAGATCAGAGGGTACGAAGGGCAAGAGGAAATGAAGGGCAGGAGGAGATAAAGGGCAAGAGGGCGGCATCAAAGCGACATTTTCCCTTCGCGACCGTAACAAATCTCCATATTTATTGAAGATTTCCTCGGGAGACTGAGTTTTTTCTCCGGCTTCCTCAAGCTTCGACAGGTCTCAATGGAACTTGCTTTCCTTAATTACGAGGAAATCACCTAATTAACGCTGGCGGTTGATGAAGACTCGTCCCACAATAACCGCCTTCTGAAACACCTGCCAGCGAACGCGGTTCCAAAGGCGGCTCCGTGACGACACAATCCGAAACTCGCAAAATCGATGCAGCCTTCAAGGAAAATATCTCGCGATGCACGCCATTATTATCGAGCCAGCCGCCGGTCCAAACAAAGAGCAATCCAAGGTACAAGAGGCGTCCGACGTCCAAAAAGACGTCCGCATTTCCCTTCGACGGAAGCGGTCGACGTCTCGTGCCGATGTTTTTTGAAGAAAAGAAACTTCCAGCTCTTTGACGTCTGAAATTGGAATTCTTACTCCCTTTCCAGCACTTGCAAATAGCGAATTGCAATGCAAGATGCGACGGTGATGCCTCCACTCCCCCCCCCCCCCCCCCCCCCCCCCCCCCCCCCCCC